AGCTGTTACACGACCAGCAGCACGTCCTTATGTGCTTCGGTAATCACCGACTGTTTCAGCACAAAGAGCTTCTTAAACAAGGACCAGAACCGTTCGATCGTTGCAGGTTTGTGGGTACCTCCGAAAGTGACCGAACTGGCTGTGTCCGCCGTGTCTGACGTCAGGAACGACCACGACGAGTCCGAGGACGGAGGCGGCGACTCGGTTCCGCCGGACGACTTTCCGCGCGTTTCCAACATGTTCACGGTGAGCACTGCCGAGGCGGAGGTCGACGAGGACGCGTTGAAGAAGGCGCACACGTTTTCTCAGACGTATTGTAAGTTTTGTGCTTTGTCGTTTCTGGATGCGATCGACCTCGAAGTACATTGGCACGCAGACCACGTGGTGATGAAGGACGGCAAGGATTACAAATGTCCGAAGGATAACTGTGATAAGGTGTACCCGAACAAAGAGAGTCTACGGCAGCACATCGCGTTGCATTTCCTTGGCAGACTAAACATCGACTACGACGCGGCTGCGGCTGCTGCGGCAGCGGCGGATGTCAGTAAAGCGACTGTTGTCGCCCTGAGTCGGAAGCTGAATGGCATAACAAACAGCGGTGGCGGTGGTGGTGCTGTCTGTGAACTCTGCGACGATCCCGGTGGCAAAATGCGCAAACGAATGAAGACACCCCTTGTGAAGCTGAATGTACTACCGGATTCGCCCGGTGTCGAACAGCAACAGAATAGGAATATGACTAATCCAAGCTTAGCAAGTGGCATGTCCAACTGTGCATCGCCCATCAGCGACTCGGATACCAGTCGTGTCAGCGCCAGTGGTCAGAGCACGAGTCCAGCTCCGAGTCCGTTGGACGCCGTAGCGTGTCCAAAAACTGTCAAGTGTTATTCATCGAGATCTAGGAGAACTCCGATTATGGCTGACGAGCCGACCGCTTCTTCTTCGACCCCCGTTTTCTCGAAAAGAAGCGGCAGCGTATCCAGCGAGCAGGCGATGCCAACTTGTTTCACGAGCGACACCGTATTCGTACCCATGTCAACGTCTTACCATGATGAGGTATATATTGTTTGTGCGACGTGAGCGTCTCGCTAGTCCTCAGTTTTCATGTCTTAGGCAAAATCCGCTGCCGAATTGAGTTACCACCAGTGCAAAGTGAGATGCGGTTCCAGATCCGGCTCCAACTCCGGCTCCTGTTCCGCGTCCGCATCCGGATCCGGTTTAACGTCTCCAAATCCGAATCTGTTCGCGAATATTAATCAGAACACGGTTCTTCCGACCGCGTGGAACATGCCATCATTTTACGCGAACCCGGTTTCGCCGCAGCCGTTCTATCTTGCCGCGGCTGCCAACCCGTTGTCCCTGTTCACGTATCAGAATGACCAGCCTTCTTCGAACAACTTGCACCTGATTTCGAACACCGCTTGGATGAACTTGCGAGCTATGACCCCGCAGTTCGCTGCGTCGTTGTATTTGAATTCTTTACCGAAGCCTCCGTTATTCAGCCCTGTCGCTGCAAATGCCACCAGCATCAGCGAACAGTCGCTGCAGTCGTCGAACAACGTTTCTGCTGCTGCCACGGCGGACACTCATTTCTGTTTCATTTGCAGCAAGCAGTTCTTGGAGCTGCCAGCGTTTCAGCAGCACATACTCAACCATTCGCAACTGAGGCCGTTCGTATGCGAGTACTGCGACGCCGGTTTCACCACCTGGCAAGCGCTGGAGTCTCATCTGCCGTGCCGATTCCAATAGGTAAAATTAAATCCGCCTCAGTTTTACTCACGCCCCTGTTTCCGTGTTTTAACGTTCGATCCGGTACTGGTCGGTCAGCAGTCGTGCTGTACAGCGAAACTTACCCTATACCCTTCTTCGACGAAAGTTTGTTAGTGAATGTTGATTTTCCTTGATCTTTCATGGTGAGCCCATCAAAGGCGGGA